CTGCACGTTCTTCCCTTGTCGTGTGGGGAGTCTGCACGTTCTTCCCTTGTCGTGTGGGGAGTCTGCACGTTCTCCCTGTGTCGTTTGGGGAGTCTGCACGTTCTCCCCTTGTCGTGTGGGGAGTCTGCACATTCTCCCCTTTTCCTGTGGGGAGTCTGCACGTTCTCCCTGTGTCGTGTGGGGAATCTGCACATTCTCCTCTTGTCCTTTGGAGAGTCTGCACGTTCTCCCGTGTCGTGTGGGGAGTCTGCACGTTCTCCCCATGTTGTGCAGGTTTCCTTGCTCAGTCCAAAGACATGCAGGTAGACTAACTGCCCAGCTATGTGCACGTATGTCCCCGGCAAGGAACTGGCATCCCATCCAGGGAGTCCACCCCATGACCCTGACCAGAAAGAGCAGGAAGACAGATTGATGGATGGATAAATAGATGGATGGATGGATGGATGTGTCCCATTTATAATAGCAAAAGACACAGGCAGGCACAGCATTCCCAGCAAGAAGCGATGATCGGACTTAAAGGGCACTCGTGAAAAATAAAAATTTAATGGCTACTGACTAGCATCACATAACGAATGCAGCAAACCCTGAAAACAAAAATACAGCAAAGGGCTGATTCAAACAGGCTGCCTACAGCTTATTAAGGAGCTGGAAGCCCGTGGAGAACACGGCAAGCGTGTGTCACACTCCAGGAGCGTGTCCGTCCACGTGGAGTGCACGGATATGAGGCTGTTTTTGAACCCAAACAGGACTGAGTATGAGTTCATTCATTATACCATAAATAAACCTATTCAGCTGGTTGCCATGGAAATCCTCTCCATCCCACACATTACTTTGCCTTGAAGTTTCATGCTCCCAGACATCTGTGCACGTTTGGCTGCATGGGATACTGCAGAGATCATTCTGGGTATCTGGGCATGCATCCTTTCATGTCCCATCTACTCAACAGATAGTGGAATCTCCCCACAAGCTTCAGCAGCAGACACTTAGGAATCAAGCATATAAACACACTTCAGCTACACAGACGGCTGAGAAACCTGTGCTGAACATGGCCATTAGGCTCCACCTTTTTTGCTTAATTTTTGACTGACATGCAAGCAGACTACCAGTCCACCACATTTCAGAGCTTTTTATATAACAAAACTTTACTATTTAAGTAGCTGCTTCATAAAATGGTGAGCTAAGCGTGAGTAAGCAATTAATAATATCAGTGTGCCTAATGATTTGATGGTAAATCCTGCCTTTCATGGAATAAACAGAAAATTCGGTAATGTATTCTTCCAAAAATAATTCAAATTTGCATCTGTTTTGATGTCTATTTTCATTTTGAAGAGCAATATAAGTTCTATGTTGCAGTTGTGCCTAACAAAATATAAAGGCTGTATCCAATAGCAGCATTCACAAATGTTTGTGGGGACCTGAGAAATGCTCCCCACAATGTCAAAATAACAGGTTTTTTTATTACATTGTGTGGGGAACATTTGGTCCCCACAATGTAATATAAACATAATCCATACACACACACACAAGAGACAAGCTGGAGATGCACAATCTCATTACATGTTAAAGGCACCTCAGTTCCTCAGGGATGATGGAGATGATCGCAAAACAGCACAGGGGACGGGGGTGTACAATGCCTCCCCCTGTTGTCCCCAAGATCTCACAAAGGGTCTAAAAAAAATACTCATTCACATTTTAACGCTTCTCTGAACATATATATTTTACGTTGCATTTTCTTTAGGTTTGGGAAAATCTCACAGGAGGTGGACCATGTCAAGGTAGTTGCAGAAGGAGAGACCAAGAGGCAGCGACCACCTTACTAAAGTTTAATATGCTTCACATACACGCTTCTGTCTGAATCTGCTCTGGTCTCGTTAATTCCTCGGAAGTTCAGGTTGCAGGTGTTGCAGGTAAGGGCTGTCCAGGCTCACAAACTGCCACTTTGAAGAGTTTAATTTTTAGCATGCTACTTAAACAAGTGCCTTGCCAGCAGCTCAGGAGACCAATGTGTTTGCGTACAAGTTCAAAGCAGCAGGCGGCATGCGCGTGGATCGCTGGGGTCCTGCCTTTCCACGAGTCTGTAATGTTATCTGACAGTTGAAGCGGACCTTCCTATTGTCTTCTGTGGTACATCCCTCCCTTAATAACACACCATTATTTGAAACACCCTGTGTGATGCAACCAGGCAAAGAGCAGACAGAGACGATGGGCCTTTAGAGGTGAATATGATGCTCACACACATGGCTGAAAGCTGTCAGAGCAGAACAAGATTCGTATTTACTTTCTGTTACCCAGAATTCAATCGACTAGCAGTGACTTAATACTCATCATTATGGATTCAGCAAATAAATTTGATTTAACAGATATGATGTTATGATTTCCTGTGATTGGTTGGTGCCCTGTCCTGGGTTGTTGGGTTGTTCCCTCTCTTGCGCCCATAGCCTCCGGGATAGGCTCTGGACCCCCTACGACCACAATAAGGTAAGCGGTTTCAGAAAATGGATGGATGGATGTTATGATTTATCACTGATATTGGTTTATCATTAATTTGGGTACATTGTACTGCAACCGTTATCCACTTATCCTGAATAGCAGCACAGTGCACACTGGGATAAGGTCCAGCCCCCCCGTGACCCTGACTAAGATATGAAACATGATGAGTCACTCAGTGAAGGTAACCCAGATGATGTAAAACATTGCTGAATTCACATTGAATTCCCGTTGACAGAGACGTAATCATGCGGACACTTCCCCATTCTTTCTGCTCTAGTGATACTTGCCAATGGCCTGGAAGCACGTGTGCCTTTCTACAGCTCCCCAGCCCCAATGGAGCTGCCTGGCGTCATTTCTGTTTGTCAGCACTTCAGGATCTGCTGGTGTCAGCTGGACGCCGTGTGAAATCCCCAGGTCCAGCCAAACCACCTTCCCCTCAATGCCGCAATCCTACTGGCTGTGTGCTATGGCTCAGCCCTGATTGGAGAAGCACCGTGATCTTCTGCCCTGACAGCCAATAGCTCACAATATCCTGACTTAAAGCATTATGCTGTGGGCAACTAAGGCAATAAATCCCAGGCTGTTTGCATCCCTCCTCCCCTTGTTCAGTCATTGGAACAAAGTCAATGTTATTACACCACTAGGAGCCCTGAGAAAATGATCCCGATTCAAACTGTGATCTAAGCTATAGGAATAGACAAACCATTTCGATGACACTAAGTATTGGACGTAGCCACTGTGTAGCATTACATATTAGCCACCGTGTAGCTTAACACACAGCAAACTGCTACCTTTTAGCAAAATTATTATATTATTATATTATAACATATTACCCACCATGTAGCATTATTTACTACCCGCAGTCTAGCATGTAGCATAATTTCTTAGCCACCATGTAGCATAATGCACAGCAAACTGCCAACATGGAGCATAACATATTAGCCACTGTGTAGCATAACATATTAGCCACTGTGTAACATAATGTATTAGCCATCGTGTAGCATAATGCACAGCAGACTGTCACCCTGTAGCATAACATTAGCCGCTGTGTAACATAATGTATAAGCCACCGTGTAGTAGTGCTGGGTGGTATACCGGTTCATACCGAAAACCGTTTTTGATTATTGTATGATATGATTTTTTCTTATACCGCAATACCAGTTTAAATAGCCTACACAACATTCGGAAAGTGGCGCAGCTGGAAACTGTTTCACTGCTGCACCGCTAAAAATGTACCGTGAAAGATCAGAAACGGAAGATATAGCTGACGCTGCAGTTGAAAATACTGAGACACTGCATGGGGGTGTCAAAAATCGATTGTCAGATTCTAATCGATATTAAAAATTACTATCTGATTAGATACTCATTTTCACCATTATTGATATCAACAGTGCGTTTTTCGCCTCATTTGCCACATGCACCACTACAGCGCAGGCACGCGCGCACGCGCATGCACACACTCACGCAGTCCCTCCCCTCCTCTTAATAGGGCTCCACTGAACTCATTCGCGCTGATTAACACACACATACTGAATGGGCCGAACATGGCACATGCTGCAGTTGAAGGCACTTCGCAAGCTGCTTTAGTAAAAACAAAAAAAACGCAAAAGTGTCATTTGGAAGTATTTTCCAGACGAGCATGGAAAGGCTAAGGATGTCGATAAGCCTCTATTCAAACAGTGCTACAAAGTTGTGGCGACGAAGTCAAGTAGCACGTCAAACCTGGCGAAGCATCTTAAAGACCGACATCCCGGTCTTTATGAGAAATTTCGCGAGGTCAGTACAACTCGTGTTCCAGCAACACTGAACTATTAAACACTAATAAAAAATGTTAACTTGGCGGGCGCACACCTTAACATCAACCGTTTATATATAAGCAGTTAAACAACAAACACGTTAGCCCTATGTTATCATTAAGGTAGCTGATAGGCGCAATGGTTAATAATAAAATAATATAGTTAATATGTGAACAATGCAAAAACGTAAAACAAAAAATGTGTCCTGTAAAATTCTGTAAAATGTGGTAAACGCCCAGTCTTACTTAAAAAATACTGTCGTATACCTTGAAACCGATATAACTTTGAAAAATACCGTGATATAATTTTTTGGTCATACCGCCCAGCTCTACCATGTAGCATAATGCATAGCATACTGCCACCATGTAGCATAACGTATTAGCCACTGTGTGACTGTCACCATTTCGCATAACGTGTTGCATAATGTATTAGCCACTGTGTAGCACCGTGCATTAGCCACTGTGTAGCATAACACACAACAAGCTGCCATTATTTAGCATAACATATTAGCTACCATGTAGTATAATGCAAAGCAAACTCCCACAATGTAGCATAACGTATTAGCTACTAGTGCTGGGCGGTATGCTGGTTCATGCAGTGTACTGGTTTTAATTTCCTACGTGGTATGAATTTATCATATACCACCATACTGCAGCATAGCTGAAACAATAGTTGTAATGCTTCAACAGGCAGCAAATTATATATTATTGTTTGCTGCTAGAAGTGCTATGGATCACTATACAGAGTTTATTGAGAGGGGACTCCTGTTACTAATAGTTATAACTTTATAACACCACAGTTCTCCATATATGACATAAAATATAGCATAAAATTTATAGTTACTGCTTCAGTCTGTGCCTGAAAACTTGTATTAAATGTAATATAAATAGGTCTCCAATTAAATGCATATTAGTAAAACTAAATTCCTAATAATGTCAATTTATCACGGTAATAATTATTCAAATCAAACCAGTTAAGCAAACGTGTTGTTGCCAAGATAGATATCTGGTAATAATCAATAAAATATGTCGCTATATAGCTAAAGGTTCATCATTAATCTAATAAAACATGTCAGTTAAACTATTCTTATCAAGCTAAGTATACGGTTATAATGAATAAAACATGTGGCCATCAAGCTGAATATGCATTAACAATCGAATAAAACGTTGGCTAAACGTCAAGCTAAATGTAGAAAATAGTTAATAAAAACACACCTTTTTAAAAATTTTCGTAAACGTATTTTATTGATGTAAACACTGCTGCGGTAAGGGCAAACTTGGAAAAAAAGATACTGTGATATACCATGAAACTGCCAGAGTCTTACAAAATACTGCGATCACTTTTGCTTTTACTGCCCAGCACTATTGGCCACTGTCTAGCATAATGCATAGCAAACTAGCACCATGTAGCACAAGAAATTCACCACTGTGTAACTTAACAGAGAGCAAACTGGTTCATAATACCTGCTAGCATTCACACTGCTAGCAAGCTAGCTGCACACAGTATATTACAAACAGGTAATGTTTATAGTATACCACTTACACTCAGAGAGACTGACGTAAAAATTGTATTATGCACGATAATTGGACATAAATACTTCTCTTTCATTTGTACCCTTCATATTCTGTACATGAGCAATAATAAGGGCTGTAGAAAATTCCCTTTGTAATAATCATAACCACCATTAGCTTTACGCGTAAACCAAATCACAGATTCTTCAAAATCATCCTCATCATTTACAATGAATGTGATCAGTTCCAAATGTTATTTTATATACCGTATATAATAATATTCCCATATTGACCAGTATATCCATCCATCCATCCATCCATCCATCCTGTCACCACTTATCCTGCACAAGATTGTGGGGCGCAGTTTACTGAGGAAGCATTAATACACAGAAATGACCCCGTCATTGTCATGCACATACATTGGAGATATGTCACGCTCTGGATGACATTCTTCTGACCAGACCTGCTCACGACAGGCAGCCATGGAAGGTTCGCCACCCCAAGGAGCTTTCTTAGAAATCCGCTTTGCAATTTCCAGACCCGAACCAGCAAGTCTCTATATAAAACAAGCCACTGGTAGAATCCCTTGTTTCCATGACAATATGATAACTGCATATCAGACATCAAAGTTAAACACAAATTTGTTTGTTCTGATGTCTGTTGAATACGTCAAATTCAAATGAAACTATATAAAATGCACATAGTGTGGGTAATGACCAAAAGAACAAAGTCATGAATAGAAGCGGCTGAAATGAGGTTCCTCCACAGGGTTGCTGGACTCGGTGAGGAGTTCAGAGATTCAGAGGGACCTCAAGATAGAGTCACTGCTCATTCAGATTGAGTGGAATCAGCAGAGGTGGTCTGATGCCACCTAGACAGCTCCCAGGGGAGATGTTTTGGGCATGTTCCACTGAGGCAGACCCAGGACATGATGGAGGAATTATATCTCCCAGTTGGCTTGGAAACATCTGAGGATCCTTCAGAAAGGGCTACAGTCTGTGGCCATGGAGCAAGAGGTCTGCTCTGAGCTGCTCGGCTTGCTGCCACCCTCAACCACCCAAGCGGTAGGAAGATAAGACAAGATCACTCTGGTGAGCAAAGCACAGTCTACATCAGAGACAGGCTCCTGTGGTCGTAAAAGAAAGAAAAACCTCGTCCACAGCTTCTCAGAACATTAATATATTAACACTACCTTTCACATCAAAACACAACACCCTACACTGATTTGGCTTTGGTATTATATTACGGTTCAATGGTCATGGGTTGGTCTCATAATGATTAATGTGCCCATATGTTAAGTGCATTGAAGGATCCGTACATGTCAAAGGTAGAATGAAAACTGCCTGCTCTCACCTGGGTGTAGTCGAAGTCAGAATGGCGAGCTATACTTCTGATGTAGTCAACTCTGAACTGGTTTCCTTGGTTGGCCAGTGGAACTGGGGGTATTAAAGTGCTCATCGCTGATACTATAGTCTGGAAAAAAAGATGAAAATTGTTAAGCGATGTATCAACACCAGGTCACGAATCACAGGAGAATAGATTCTAATTCAGCAAATATGTAAGCATAGGAAACTGGGAAGGCTTCCACGGGAAATTTCCAAAGGAACCCACCACTATGGCATCCTTCACATTCTTCCGAATGTCCTGGATTTTCTGTTTCTTTTCCCTACATGAAAAAGTAATCGGATTATTTGTAAAAACAAATGACAAGAGAATCTCAAAAGGCTGCAAAAAAATGCAGGTACTGTATCTTAAACTGAGGGAAGCGCAAACTGGTTGAAGCCCATTTTACCACCATGCAAAGCCAATAAAACTCTGGCTCTGAAGTCGAGATCTGAAAGATGTGGGTCTGAAATAGCAGCTCAGCTTCGGCTCTCAGTACTGCAGGGCTTACCCTGTGCCTGAGATTAGGGAACTTGCCCAGCACCGGAATCATTGGGGAGGGGGGGAAAAGAAAAGAAAAGAAAAGAAAAAAAAAACAGAAAAAGGAAGTAAATTATAACCGTACAGCATCTTGTATGAAAGACAGGTCTTTTCAATTATAATCGCAATATTAAAATTTAAAAAACAAAGGCAAAGTACATGATATTTAACAGTGAGGGAGGGTGAAACCAGGGAGCTTAACAGGACAAATACACAACAGCTATCTGCAAAGACGATGCATTAGATGCTTTCTAAGTATCTCAATCTGTTTTTCACATTTATCTGTGTGCTTTTAAAAACTGGCTTGCACTACATGTGTGCTGTTTTTGCATCTTGTCTGTTTGGCACTATGTTTGTTTGTGAACTATATGAACCGGAATTTCTCCCTGGGATTAATAAAGTTAATCTTAGTCTTAAGATTTTATTAATTGACTGACAGTCAAACAAGGGAACTGGATGCTCAGAAAGAATCCAGAAAATATAAAACATAAAATTATCTTCTATGTGGGAAAAAATCTTGATATATTCTGGCAAAATAAATGAAAAAATATGCTATATTCATGACAGTGAAAAAACAAGTAAAATGCATTTTTACAAAATATCTTGGTAAAATTATGAATATCCAATCACAGGCAACCAAATACCCACCTATCAATGACCTTGCGGCAGTAAGAAAGTGGATGTTATCTGGTCTGGTATTATGCTACATAAATGGGTTACGTAGGGGCTGGGTGATTTCCTGCGTAAACCTGTGCTTGTAATAGTGACTGATTACAGAAAGGAATATTCTGCTGATACACGGAAAGGTGGGCATGTGCACAAGAGAAAAAGCAAATTAAAGGCAAACACAATCAATTACTCAAAGTTCATTTCAGGTGAACAGGTTCTGTGCAATGTAACGGGCTTAGTGACCATATGCAGAGACACTGCTTTATTGTTGTTTAAAAGATTTTATAGCACATCATATAAATACTGGAATGGTTTATGACACTCTGAAAAAGGGGATTAATTCATATTCTGACACTTCCGGAAATCTTGCCAATTATTTCACAGTCAGTTTTCAAATGAATGCTGACAGAGATCAGCTGCCCAATTGTGTGAAGCATATAATGTAAATAATTTACGCATTTTACAGCAAAGATGAACAGTAAAGCTTTACGGGCAGTTAAATCACAGAAACAAGACGGACCACTTCGTATTAATACAACAGAATGAACAGCCGATTGACACAGAAACAAGACGGACCGCTTCGTATTAATTTTTTTTATTTTATTTATCCTTTATTTTACCAGGAATGTCCCATTGAGATACATTATCTCTTCTTCCAGGGAGTCCTGGCCAAGGTGGCAGCAATAATAATACAGCAGAATGAACAGCCGATTGAATATTTTGAATTTAAATTTTGGAATAGAAATGTAAATGTTTTACAGAGGTTGTTTATTTGCAGACCATAAATATAATCTATAATATAAGTTACTATTTTTTAACAAAACTGTCTACACTTTTTCCTTTAAAACACACACTGAATATGAACGGTCATATTAAACAGAAAATCTTCAAAAGAAAAAAAAAACTTGCTGTTTTTTCCTCAACTTCTGAATAAGTATCAAACTACTTTTTCAGATTTGATTTTTGATTTATTATTCACATCCAGATTCAGATTATTTATTTAATTACATTTAAATGCATAGTTTTGGGGAGTAAGGCAATTCATCCACTGCCTTCCACCCATCTTTGAACCTCTGCTACTGGTCAGGGTCCCCAGGTAGCCCTGGGAATCAGTATGGGGGACACTCTGCATATGATGCCAATTCACCGAATGCCAGTCTGACCTCTGTCTGTACACATGTCTTTTCAAAACACTCTTCCCGCTTAAGGTCTCTTGTGGGCAAATTCTCCCAGTACTAACAATATCACAACTATATTAACAACAGGTGTCATGCGTGTTGTTGCCTGTCAGGTAAAACAAAACAAATCACAACATGAACGGAAAATCTAAATGAAACATAGCGAGGCGAGGGGCAACAATATGCTGCTATAGATGATCGTGTATAGTGGCACGTTAAACGCGGCGAGGCTGCGCTCCGCTCCTGCGCACCGCATGCATGTGAAGTAGCCTACGCGCCTCTGATGCGCACCGTAGCGCGGCGTGCGGGCGGGGAAAGACAGCGGCGCTCCCTGCGACACACGGCATCACAACGCGAGCGGAGGAAGGCAGCGGCACTCACTCACTCTGCATTGAAACCATTGACGTGCAGGATCCGCATCTGCTTGACAATGGTGCTCTTTCCGGATTCTCCGGCGCCTTGGAAATGAGAGAGAGAGAAAAAAATTAAAACATCGCACAAATAAAGCGTTAAGGCAACCGCCGGGGTGCGGGATCATGTAAGTGGCACATATATGACGGATCAGGTGCACGGACGCTGCTCTCACCAGCCCCTTCTGGCAGGCTTACCCAGTAAAAGCAGCCGATGTGTGGCTTTGTAAGATAGTCTCTCTTTTTGTAACTGTTTCTCTATTTTTTTATTGGCTTTCCGTCGCGCTTTCTCGTCGATCCCCTGTTCTTCCGTCTTGCTTAAACAGCCCATGTTCCGCAGGCCCCCTTATTGAGTCGGAAATATGAAATGATAGCAGAAATATCTCCGCTCCGGAATAAGATGCGAGGGCAGCGATCAGACCCTACGCCGCCTCCACCTCGCTGGATGTTCCCCGTTTTTGCACTAACTTCCTCTATATTCTCTGTCCTTTCCGGTAAATACACATATTAGAAATAAAATTAGCCGATAGATTATTTCTATAAATAGAGGGAGGCTGGACCGCAGCCAGTTGCCCCCCTCTCACTTCTTGCCACTTGTATTTCCTATGTAAATTCCTGTCTGTTTTTCCGTCTCAGCACTGCCTCTCTCTGCGGCTCCAGGAAGCGAGATGAAGCCGTTTCAGCGTTACTCCCAAATCAAACCGTCTCCACCGACCATATTACATATCTAAACCTTTGATAGGGGCAATAACTGAATCAAACCAGTTGTCAGTGACAGCTCTGCAGAAGGGCTCAGCGACTGCAACTTCCCCTAAATAATCTTTGGACACCTCACCCGTGCTGTCTTTCCTGATGTTATAACATCTGGAACCACCGGCAACCCAGTTCCAAAAAGGAGGCCATTTCACAGTTGATGGTCACGACAAACATGACAATAAAGATTTCTGAATGCTCAAGAGTAACACCTGGTAGCAAACTGACAGTTACGCAGCATGTTTATGGGGCACCACTTACGGTTTCGGCTAGTAAAAATAAGCATTATTATTCAGTTACATTTACAACACAGACAACCGCTAAGTTTTCAGCTGGCAAAAGATACAGTAATTTGTTATTACATTCAAATACAACACAATTCCTGTATAGCTCCAGGAGTGTACTATCGATGTTCCCGAGCAGATTCTCTCTCAAAGATCAAATTCTCGAACTGCGGAGGCTCTACTTCAATGTGCAATTAAGCCGTCAGCAGGGGAGCTGGAAAAGGTGCCTGCAGTTCCCACAATGACCCATCCAGGTGTCAAAGAGAGCATATGTCTTTATTTAAAATTCAGTCCTTTAGATGCAGTTTGCTGACAGCCGACCATCTCTGAACACCTGGATCATTCATAAAATTCTCCCTAGTTCATTAGGTCAAGAATTAGTAGTTTGCAAACTGACATGTGCAACAGGAACAAAGACAGCAGCGTTTGCTACAGTAATGCACGTTAAATACCAGCTTAGCATATTCTCTGTTAATGATGTATAGAGCTATCATATCTGCAATCTACTTAGCCTACTATAATAAAAATATTACAAAAAAAACATATGAACAATAGTAGAAATAGAAATACAAATGACAATATAGAAAAAAAACATGCAATAACTATGACATCATCATGCAAGCCTGCAGGCATACTGCTACTTCCTGTCTGATTTCTGTTAACAGGCACATAACTTTTAAGATGTGATAGGATAAAACAACTCAATTATAAATACTGACCAATCAAAACATTATTCTGATTTTTTTCATCAAACTAAACAAACATCACTTTATTATTTCTGGTACCCTGTATATATTTAAAAAAAAACCTGAACATGCAGCATGACTGCAGATTAAATTTTCTTTGTGTCATAACTGCCACTCCTCTCTCAGTCCAAAGACGAAATTTATTAAATATGCAGGAGGTTGCACCTGATAACTATTATCCCTGTCAACATCATATTATCCAGTCAGCATCACATGATCCCGTCAGCATCACATGATCCTCCTCATCAACATCACACCAGCATGAGTCCACCTGCTGGATGCTACAAAATATTATTTCTTCTCCTCTAAAGATTAGTTTTTGAAGTAATTTTAAATGGGATCAGAAATGCTGAGGCACCAATCAACCCAGTCTGACTAGACAGAACAGACAAAAACTCCAGAACAGAACCAAAGCTGCACACCCATATTGTTCATGAACTGTCCCAAGCCAGTAAAATTCTGTTTTGAGAGCATTTCCTCACGCTTGATATATGAAGAAAAGTATTTTGTTCATATATAACTTACAGTAAATGTATACAGCGACACCCGATTCACACCAGTATGTAGGCTCTTAGTACTTGAACATTATAGCCAAAATGGCAGGTCACCCATAAACCTAAACAAATAAAAAGAACAAACTGACAGCTCATTGTACATTTCACTTATGATAAATAAACTCAAACTGCTACTACAGTGGTTTGGTTGGTAGTAAGGCTAGGTAATATTTCACAATATCAATAGTTAATAAAATATTCTAAAATTCATATGCAGAAAACAGTAAAATATTTTAATTTAAATTTTTCCGATTATGAAGACCAAGTTGTTATGGACCATGTGACAACAACAGACTCATGCCTTTGTGCAATTGGTTTGAAAAAATAGGTCATTATAACTGTTAATTATGCAAGAAAACGAGTGTTTCAGCTATATCACAATACTCAAACTGATGACGACAGCGTTCATAATCACAGTATGATATTTCATCGATATATCCCCCAGTCCTAGTTGGTAACATTGTTGCCTCACACCTCTGAAGTTGAGAGTTGATTCTATGGGTGCGGAGTGCCCTTTGACAGACTGACATCCCCTCCGGGGTGTCTTGTCTGCCTTGTGGTCTAGCACCTCATCATGGGTGGTCCCTGCCTCCTGCCCTATAATCCCCATGCACAGAATAAACGGTTTTTATTAGGTAAAAAAATTTGCAGGAATCACAGATAGATCTCAGTTGGTACACCCATCAGAGTTCTTCGTCAGTTTCAGGATAAACTATCAACATTTGAGGAGACTAATTGGAAGGTGCTTCGTATGGTCAAGATCTGGTAAATATTACTGTCCCAACTTAAGTTTGACATGCAGTTTTCTAACGCTTGAAATCCATCGCAGAGGATCATCAGCCATTTCCCAGATTCTATTTAGAATAAAATAAACAAACCGGTTGTAACTTAAGTATAAGGTATGTACAGGATCCAAAAGATAACAGTTAACATAACTGTATTTAGGGCCACTTAAAATTAATAAATTTACATGGCCGCCCGCCTCAATTTTTTGGTGCCGCCTCGATTTTTTTTATATTTTTCAAAAAAACGTTTTTTTTTCACCTCAAAAACTGTCAGAGATCGTCAATGTGCCAAATCCTGATATCCTGTGCACTGTGAGCAAGTAGTCTCTTGTAGGGTGGTCCAATAATAGTGACCCTCATTGAGGTCAAACAACAGCACTTCTATTGTTTGAAACAATGGAAGTGCTGTTGTTTTGCTATTGTCAGGAGGACGCTTTTATTGGGCCATTCTGTGGCAAGACCATTAAACACTTAGACTAGGCATTTGTTTTGAAGGTTTCTCTTTTCTTGTAATTGTTTGAACTGTTGATAGTTTAAAATGTTGAGATACTGACAAATTAAAGTTTAATTTTCTAGTTTTAGTATATCTCTGTTGCCGATCGTCTTTTCGCTAAAAATATAAAATATAAACCACTCACCAATATTTTAGAAGTTTGAGTCATGTAAAACAATTTATTAATTTTAAAGTGGCCTAGTATTAATAACAATACAAACAAATATGACCAACGTTATATCACTGGCGGCAGCGATAACTTGTTTTCAGGCGCTGTAGCTGGGGTGCATACCCACAGGTGTATCACTCTCGGGTGTAATCACCGTCTCCTGTGTCCTACACACGCCCATCATGACAAGCTGATCCGCGGCATCCTTTCCTGCATATCTGTGTCTCGATGATTCCCCTGAATGTCCTTGCCGTGCGGCAAAGGATGTCCAAGGAAACGCTTTTCCACACGGCAGGGTGCATGCACTCACACGTACCGAGGAGCAGCAGCCGGTGGGTTTGCTCGTATTCCCGTCGCAGCTCCTTAAGGGCCTTGTCGATATTTTTGCTGATTTTCTTTGCCTCCTTTTCGGCCTCTTTCTCCTCCTTCTCCTCCGGCTGATGCCTGTCCCCGTCCCTCCGCTTGCGCGCCGCTTGTGGCCGCCGGCCGCCCTGCTCTCCTCTGCCGGCACCGTTTTGCAGCAGCAGCAGTCCGTCTGCGCCAGCGCCTCCGCAATGGGGCTCCCTCGGGCAGCAGGCGGCCGGCTGCTCCGAATCCGTCCCGGAGGTGCTCGGCTCCCCGAAGAGGCGCGGACGCAGGCTGTAGCACAGCCCCATGACCGGGATCGTTACGTGGGAATGGCAAAGAAAAAGAAAAGCACACACTATCAAACGGGCTTGATCTTATGCGTGCTGTGAGGCATGATTTCCCGGCATGATGATGAGAATTTCTCCGGGAGTCACGGCCCCAGCAAGCAGCGAGCACCGCCCCGCATCTCGCCGTCAGTCCGGCTCTCGGCTCGGCTGGTCGCTGCCGTCTTCCTTGCCGTAAATGCGTCAAGAGCGCAGCCTCCTGAAAGGGACGCGGCTTTGCACAAATGGCCGGTCCCCGAGCCCCTATCCCTTGCGCTTTCTGTATTTCTGTGATTTAAACATCAGTATGCTTTAAGTGGCATGCATGACTAAAACGGCTTTAATTACTTTATTCGACCTCGCTGGGAGTGAGATATAATACGGTCACGGTATAATAATTAATGATGGCATATGCATATCTAATGGGACGAAATATTAGATACAGGTCACCCTGAAAATTCGCCGCTGCTTTCAAAACAAAAGAAATTAAGAATTTTAATGTCACGTTAATATGACCGTGTTTGTTAAAATAGTTACCCCAGTTGATACATCAAAGTTTAATTTCTTGTCTGGTTTGTGAGGCAACTTTCTTGCACCGGTAGGACTCCGGTTTGTAAGTTATATTGGTTCCTTCCCTTGTTCCAGTGATTTTTGGTGAATTAGGTAAGGAAATATGGAGTTTCGGTCGCGGGATTGGGAGTTAGGAGCACCTGTATTCAGCTGAGCACAGCTATTTTTTCTTTTTTTTCGTCGTCAGTGGAGTCTTCCTCCTCTCCCTTTGTCTTGGTAATTAAGAGAGCTGCCCTCAGCTGTGAACACTTGGCGCTTTACTCTGCACAAGAAAGGCAATCATGCTGAAGTGCCCCACTGTGGAGCACCTGTTTTGTGAAGATGCTGCTTGTGTAAGCACCAGTGAGTGTACCCTCATATAAGAGTACTAAGGATGCCCTTACTCCGCTACACACAAGTGAGTGTACCCTTATAAAGGCACTAAAGATACTGTCACTCTGCTACACATGTGAGTGTAACCTCATAAGGGCACTAAGGACACCCTCACTCCACTACACACAAGTGAGTGCAGCCTCATAAGGGCAATAAGGACACCCTCACTCCACACAAGTGAGTGTGCCCTCATAAGGGCAATAAGGACACCCTCACTCCACACAAGTGAGTGTGCCCTCATAAGGGC